ACTACCAGCTATAATAATAGATAACATACCAATAAACTATAATATAATAATAATTAATTAAATAGAAATATTTCGTTTTAGAAGATAATTTACCATTGATATACTACGATTTATACATTAACAAACAACACTACCAGGTATGAAATTAGAATTTGTTAAAAATTGAAGAGATAAACATTGTGCATAATATAATAATTCATTATAAGTAAGAGATTGTTCATCAATTTCTATGGCTATCTTTTGTGATTGCTTATTTACTTGCTGGATAAATTCATGCTGTATACAATGATTAGATGAAGAAAACAAAGTTTGAGTATTATTCATTGATGCCATAAGAATCTTTTCATTAGGTAATATTATTGATGATTCATGAATCGATTGATAAGTTTCATTCATTGAATTTGATGTGAAAAGGTGTTGAAGTAAAATTTGAAATTGTTGCCCAATTTTATATGTTGTTGATGGGTTAAACAAATCAAGATATGCATCGATTGTACATGATAATTGATCGGTTATTGTATCATATATAATACTTGAAGAAAAATCAAATTTACTTGCAATTTCATCTGTATTTATTTGAATTGAATAAGACATAATATAAATAGGAACATCTCCTATTGTCACTTCATCATGATTATTTTCAGTTGGAAAAGAAACAAATCCAAAGAATACATCAAGAAATGTAGGACGAGAAATATGTGGATATTGAGGAAGAATACGTTAAAGAGGAAAATAAGAATGTTCGAAAGTTTATTTTGCCATGGTATGTACATGTTTTACAAATTCACGAAATGAATGATTAGAATTAATCTGACATCGCATTGGAAGTGCATTAACAAACATTCCAATAATTGACATTAATTCAGGTTTCGAACGACCATAATTATTCATAACAATACATATATGATTTTCATTATTGGCTAATTTAAATAAGAATGTATAATAAGAAGCAAGTGCTAAGTATTAAAGTTAGAAATGCTTTTGATAGATCGTTATCAAATTGAAATGAAATTGAAGTTCCACGACCTGTACGATGTTCATCAAAAACACGATGTCGATCAAATGGTAATTGTAAAGGTCGATCGATTTCACAATCACGAAGAGCATCAAGCCAAAAAGCATTGGCAGCTGTCATAGGCATTTGTTGTTCAGCCACAGCATCTTAAATAAAATCAAAAGTATGTCAGTATAAAATATAAGAACAATGAACAAAATAAGTTAATATACAATCAAGATAACGCAAAGTTGTATTATCATCATTTGCCAAGTAACCCATTGTATATGCTTGATCAAGATCTTGACGAAATATTTGCATTGATGGAAAATCAAACAAAGCATGATGAAAATTAAAGATTAGTGCATCTTTTTCACAAATGATTCCTTTTTGAGAAATGTTTTTATAAT